GGTGCCGGGTGCCGGAGCGGGTGGCGGGGGAGCCGGGGAGGTATTTCCCCACTGCTGGGTTTTTACGTCTCAAACGTACCCACAGCCCCGAGTGAGCCCCGCCTCGGGTGGCCGTGGTTGTGGAAATGGGTCTCCCCGGTCTCCCTTCCGTGGAGCTCCTCCCGGGCCTGCGGTAGCTGGTGCGCCGCCTTGTTGTCTGTTGTTGGGGGGAGGAGGGGGAGGTCCTGGGCGGCTGACTTGCAGCGGTGGGTTAAACACTCTGGGCCGTTGCTCCGGTGTGGTGAGGGGGGATGATGGTGCTTCCTTGGGAGGGGACTGGCATCCCCCAAAGAAAGCAGTGAATGAAAGACTCATCTGTGCTTACACAGTGCTTAAATGATGAAGATGCAAATATGCTTGTCAGTTCTTTGTCTAGTGTCACATTGCTAGTCTTGATCTTGTTACTGAGTCTTCTTGTTGCATATTTGTATTTTTTCTTTGGACTAGATCATCTGGGAGCAAAGCAGGACAAGTTTGGGCCCCTGAAGGATCAACAGCTTTCAAGTGTCTCATCTCAGCCAGGTTCTGTGCAGCTCTTTTAAGCAACATCTCTGATTGTGATGAGACGTTTAACTATTGGGAACCGGTAAGTGGCTTTCTCTCCTTGGAGATACTTGTGAATTTATAGTTGGCCTGTGCAAATGCAGATTTATCTAGAACCTTGTGCTAATCTCTGTTTCAAAGAGAAATTTTCTTACTCAAGAATTCAGAGATGGGAAATGCAAAACTGTCTACTCTGTGTGATGCAGATTTATTTATTTATGTAATCTCCATTGTAGACACACTACCTCGTTTATGGAAAGGGGTTTCAGACATGGGAATACTCTCCAGCCTATGCCATCCGCTCCTATGCTTACCTGTGGCTTCATGCCTTACCAGCCTTGTTCCATGCTAGAGTTCTACAAACTAACAAGGTAAATCAGATGTGTGAAAGCTTCTTTTGTGATGAATAAACATGCCTTTAGTCTGTGTTAAACAGCTGCTTTGTTTGTTGTCAGAGGTAAGAGAATTAGTGTTTACAAAACACTAATTTGTTTACAAACACTAATCTTCCTGTAAGGATTTGCAAGGGTTTGTGAGCTGACTCAACGGGATCCAAGGAAAAGTGATTGGGAAGTTGCAGGAAATGCTGTCAGGCTCCGGTTTGATTGAGAAGCTGTCCCAGAGGGGCTGTTAGCTCCTTGGCCTTTTGAGTGTGTGCAGGCCTGGGGACAGACCTGGCAGCCATGGGCTCTCATTCACCCCTGTGAGTTTCACCCTGATGCTTTAGAAGCCAGTATTGTTTTCTATGCCAGCTACCAGTGACTATTTTGATTTTTTTTTCAATAAACTATAAAAAATAAATTAGTATTTTGCAAGCGATATTGCAAACTGAACTCACAGAAATGTAAAAGAAAAAGCACTGAATGTGGATTCTGCTTGGGTATCCATTGCCATACTTGGCATGTTTCTGCATAACAGAAAACAAAAGAGGGGTAGTTCTGGTAAGTTCAGTGGACTGTGTTCACTTTCTCTGTTGTAAAGGACTTCAGTGTTAGAGGGCTAGGCCTTGAGCTGCCGGGATCTTCATCCTCCCTTGGTGTGGGATCTGGGTCTACGAGAATAGGCTCATTCGCCACTGCCAAACTTGCTCCATCCTGTTCAGAACTTTTGTTCTTGGGACCGACTTGTTAGTAATAGGTGAATAAGCTTCATTGCAAACCTTGTTCAGACTCTGAGTATGTCTCCTAGGTTCTTATCTTCTATTTCCTCCGATGCTTCCTGGCCTTCCTGAGCTGCATTTGTGAACTCTACTTCTATAAGTGAGTATTAGAAGGTGTCTACAGTGAATGTTTTGGAGCAATGTGAGTAACATATTCAGTTATTGCCACAGGAAATACACTCTGAAGCTCATGTGTAGATGTGTCTGGTAAATTGGGCTACTTCACAGTGAACCTTGAAAATATATGTTCTTATGATAACTTAATGAAATACTGGTCAGAATTCTACTGTTATGACAAAATTGTATTCTCGGATCTGCCACCCACATCTCCACTCCAGCATTTTGTTGACTACACTTGTTTTCTCAGTGATACCAGCAAGCAAGGTGGGAGTGTTGTAAACTGAGCTCTGCTGGAGGAGAGACTGGTGTTGTGTTTGCTTATCATAGTGAATTTTAGTGGAATACATTGATTGTTGCTGTCTGTAATGTATCTGCCAATGGTGTTTACATCCACTAAAGCAGTAGCCTGAACATACAATTATCTTGTCTAAGCTGGATTTTTATTTTTACCTGCTGCCTCTTCATTTGTGGCTTTCAAACTATTACCTTGCATGACTTTTCTGTTGGCAATAGTCTGGTTTTAAGAATGTGAGCTGTGGCTTTCTGCATGATGGGATTTTGTGAGGGGTGAAAATCTTAGATTGATGTTGTAACAGCAGTGCAGACTCCCTGAGTTCCTGAGATTTGCATGAGTGCAACTGACGCTGGTAGAAGCCAAGTCTCTTCTAGAGTTTTGCACTAGTGTAACTTAGGAGGATCTGAAATCCCAGGCCAGAGGCAGTCATACTGCTCTTCAGGTTGCCTTCAGTGGCTGAGTAATGAACATCACCCACCTTAAAGCTCTCAGGATGCTCCATGGATTGTTTGTGATTCTGCATGCATTGGGTACTGTTCTTTTATGTACTGAGGATATTTTTGTGGTCTCTAATTCTCTCTTGCTTCCTTAGGGCCGTGTGCAAGAAATTTGGGCTACATGTGAGCCGGCTGATGTTGGCCTTCTTAGTACTCAGCACTGGGATGTTTTGCTCATCTGCAGGTGAGTTTGCTTAGCAATGACACTAACAATTACTTTGTCCATAGAAACCAAAGACAGGTCCAGAGAGGAGAAAATCCACAGCACTAAAATATCTCTCTAGCAATCGTTTGTTGTATTCTGTTGCAGGTCTTTCTCATGGCAGGTGTGATGACGGAATAAGAGTTGATTCAAATTATGTTCCCTGCATCACTCTCTTGTATCTTTCCATTTCCAGGGCATGTTTGTTTCTATTGCTGCCTCCAGTCTCTCTGCTATGGGCCATGCCTTTAAACAGGGTCTTGGCCTACCTTCCTTGAACATATTTTAACTCAAGGAAGGAGGGTCATATTTTGGCATTGTCATTTGCCTTTGTGTCCTGTCCTCTCTGGCTGTTGTACCCATTTGCCTAGCCAACCACCATAAGACTTATAAAACACCTGCTGTAGGTATTGAGTAAAGTGCAAGGAGAGACTTTGAGCAAAGGTTTTCTGTATTGTGCGCATACAGAAACTGAAAGGGAAATACCACAACTTATGAATGCTGAGATTTCATATTTTACCCTTTTTTTGTTTACGGTGAGTGGAGAAAAGACTTTCCCTTCATTATTTTTGCAGTGTCATAAGTCTCCTCATTCTTCACTTCCCACCAGTCTCTGCCCAGTTGCTTCAGAGACTCTACGCAGTCAGCTCACATTTTCTGCTGCCACTTGAGCAGGTTCATTTCATTTTTTTCAACCTAGCAGAATATAGAGAGTGCAACAGGTGTTACAAGTGGTAACCATGGATGTTGTCAACTGGTTACCACTGCTGAGTGCCACCAAGGAAAGAGGCCTTCATACTTAAAGGAAGTATTTCTGGTCTTGGCAGAACAAAAAAAAGAATCGTCTTTTTTTTGCTTTCACTGAAATGAATGTCCAGTGTAGCATCCAAGCTCCAATGGAATGAATGAATAAGAGATATCTTAGCCTCATGCAGTTTTCCCGCTGTGGGAAAGCTGTACTAACCCTTTTCTTTCCTTGTGTTGCAGCTTTCCTCCCAAGCAGTTTCTGCATGTACACCACGGTGATTGCCATGACTGGCTGGTATATGGACAAGACCTCTGTAGCAGTGCTGGGGGTGGCCGCTGGAGCCCTTCTGGGCTGGCCCTTCAGTGCAGCTCTTGGGTAAGGAGAGGAGGGCTTAGGAGTTTTGCACTTTGTCAAATGTTTCTTGTCTGGTTGGGGAGAATGTAGGGGCTGGAGAGCTAGAGGAAGAAACTAGCAGGGACTGAGCTGCCAGCCTAGTCCAGGATCATTGCTACAGGCTTCCATAGCCTGATTTCTTTGCTTTTGAAGAACTTAGGTTGGGAATATTTTCTTGCCCTAATATACTGAGAGTAAGACCTGAGCTGGATGACTGGAATATGGAGTAGAAGCAGAGCCCAGTGAAGTGATGGTTCTCTTCCAGCTACTGCCCCGCTTGCTTTGATGGGACAGGAAAACCTGCAATGGGGAAAGACAAAGTCTTCAGTTGATACCTGGTCTCTCTTTCAGGCTTCCTATTGCCTTTGACTTGTTGATACTGAAGCAGAGGTGGAAAAGTTTCCTAAACTGGTGTGTGGTGTCATTGATCCTGTTTTTGGTAAGTGCCTGTAACAATGCAAAAAGGGAATGGATTGGGCTTGCAATAGAAAGGGTGGGTTCCATTAAGAAAATCACATGGAGCTTTTGGGCAGTCCAGCCAAAAGCTTCTGGCACTTTAAATAATAGATGCTTTCTTCCAGGTGCCCTTGGTAGTTGTGGACAGCTATTACTATGGGAAGCTGGTAGTTGCACCTCTCAACATTGTTTTATACAATGTCTTCACCTCTCACGGACCTGATCTCTATGGTGAGTTTAAGATAACAAGACAGGAAGGGAGTCGGCGGTTTTCTTTCTACTGTCTTGCTACCGTGATCCACCCCGTCTTGATTGCCAATCCTTTTTCTGACGTACTCTAAAGCAAAAGCAGCCTGCAAGCTCCACAGGGCTGCAGTTCCAGCTTTTTGCCACAGGATGTCTCTCTCGAGCTGGGAATCCGCAGCCCATTGTCAGATTTCTCCACGCTGCGAGTTAAGCTGCTTTTGTTCACTTTCAAGTTCTGTAAACCGTCATGAGATGTCTCAGCGTCACAGCAGAGAACTGTTAGTAGCAAATGTGTCTGGATGCTACGCGAGTGCAGTGCATACAAGTGATACATGTGGGTGTTTGTCAGCTTTAATCGAGTTCTTGGCTGTTCCTCACAGTCAGGGTGCAGAACCTTGGGAAAGTGGGTAACAGTGCAGAATCCATAGTTCACATCGGGTTTCTGCAGACTTCCTGAGTCCATGCTGTGCCTTGGGAATCTCCTTGCTTATTGGCAGTGTATGGCCTGGGCTTTGCTGGCAAGCAGAATCTGAGGTTACTATGAAGGCATCTAATCTGCAGGCAAATCATCTGCCTATGAGGGGTTCCCTGGTACTGGCCATTTAGGATACTGTGTGACCCAAATCTCAGGTCTGAACCTTGATGGCAATGCTGTATTGTTTGTTTGGAAGCTGCCACTGCACTAAGTTGTTCATATCATGTACTTCTAGAGCTGAAGAGTAGAAAAGTATTATATTTCTAGCAGGGCTTCAGAGGGGCTGGCGGAAACTTCAGGGAGCTTAGGGTACAGGGTCCCTGCGTCATCTCTGTCATCTGTTTAAGCTCTGTTGAGATATTCTAGGAGGGATTCGGCAGTGGTTAGCATCAAGGCTTTCTCTGGCAGTGCCCTGCAGGCCGTATTTGTTGGTTCGTTTGAAGGGCTGTTTTGGGTGGTGCTGTGTGGTGATTTGTTACTTGTGCTGTGGCACAGCAGGGCACCAGCTGCTTTGCCATGGTTCTTCATCTCTGCAGGAAGGCTCTGAAGTCTGTTGCTGTGAATTTTCTGTAAGGAAACTCCAGGCTCTGTCTCTGATAGGTTTTGGCATGGGCTTGTGCCTGACCTTTTCCACACTGGTGCATGAGTTGTTTCCAGAAGCCTTGAGGGACCAATCTATTCTGAAGTGTTTTATTCATAGTGACATTCATATAACATCCTCAGGCTAGTAAAAGAGCCTGCTTGAAATTGCTCTTTAATGCAGTGTGGCCAGGACAACGCTGTGTGTTTAGAGAGCTTCAAAACACTTGGGAAAAATAACACTACCAGGGGAGATGAAAGGCTGGCCTATCCCTTTTGGCTTTGGAGCTGGGATTTCCCAACTTTCACATGATGGGAGCAGGAACTGCTGGAGGTTGCAGAGTCATCAACCCATATCATCTTCAATGTAAGCACCACAGTATTTTTCCTTTTCCCTGCAGACTGGAGTTCTGGAGACAAAGTTCAATTTTTTATTATTTTTTTTTGTCTTTAGCGATACACTCCTTCTGGATAAATACAGTCTGTGCAATGAATATTTCCCTGGGGTGATTAGGTTTCTACAGCCAAGGGAAAGTAGCTCCCTAAGCCTGATTCTGAGGCTTTGGGATGTTTTTGTGTACATATGTTCTAAGAACGCACAATTTGTGACAAAAGTTTTATCCTACTTCCTGTGATCAGAGCCTTGGCTGTGACTTGCAGTGCAATGGCACTTTGGGAAGCTTTGTTCAGCTTGGACGGAATGTGCTGGAGCTGTTTATATGACACCTTGCTCTGTTGAGTCCTGGCTCTTAAAGAGAGTGAAAATAAAAGAAATGCAGAAAGCAGACTGTTTATTATACTAGCACTGAATCAGGCTTGCTTAGAATGAGGGCTGTGACTCATGATCAAATTATTGTGGCTTAGTTACGGCTTAACAGCTGAGCTACAGTTCCTGTCTGCGTGCAGGCTTTTAGCCTGTGACAAACATAGGGTGGGGCACCTTAGCTTAAGCCTATTTTACAACTCCTCTGCTTTGTCCTGAGCCGCCCTCACCATTGCTGTGGTCAAGCTGCAGCATGGTAGCTTGTTAAGTTCTATTAACTTGTGTGTGAGTTTGATTTCTAGAATTGCTTCTGGAGCCTGTCACAGAGCACAAAGTTCAAACCAGTTTCTGGCTCAGTGTCTGACAGTGCTTCCAGTTGGTTATCCCCATGGAACCATAGTGCCACAAACTGACTGGGCCACAGTGTTCTTCCCACTGCTTTCATCAGTCTCTCTTCTACAGCCCACATCTGCTCAGGTCCAGCATGTGGGATGCTTGCAGGAAGTTAAATCTGCTGTCATGGTCTGAAGGCGATACTGTGGAAGCATATTCCCATCAGTACTGTGCATGGAGAGTTCTTTAGTGTCCCTCCCTGCTTGAAAGACATTGTTCTGGGCCAGGACTTCTTGTATGCAATGGGGTGGTTGTTTTTTATCTTGCAGTTCTTTCTCAGATCACCTTGAGTTGTTGTGGATAACAAGAATAAAAGCATTTTGCCCTGGGAGGCATTGAGACTGAATGCCTCTGAATGGGTTAGTCATCACAGTGACCAAGCCTATTGCTTTTTGCCTGGTGTCTGTGAATTATTTAACTTGCCTGTGTAATGCACTGTTCTCCTCTCATATTTTTTTTTCCTTTTTTTTTCTTTTTCTCCTCACCCAGAGAAGAAAATCCCTCATTGGAGAAGGAGGAGAGGTTCCAGTGCTTGGTTCTTAAGGGTAATTCAGTCACACTGCAAAAAAATCTGAGAAAGTAGCCTTTTTGTTAAAGCTGTGCTTCAGACCAGCTGACCTCTTTATCAGCAGAGTCCCTCAGGACACTTCTGGGCCTTTAAGGCTGTATCTGGATTGTGGAGGAGGTGTGCTTCATGAAGTGTCCTTCATTCCTGAGTCCCAGTCTACTAAATCAGAGACCAGACTAGAGAGCGCCCTAGTTAATTTCCTTTACTTTCAATAGCAGCCAGGGCAGGTAGAAGAGTGATAGTATGGTCCCTGGTACTATCCTTTAAAGATTTGGGACTTGGCTGTGCTGTGCAGCTTAATTGTAGCCAGAAAACACTGGAGGGTAACAGTTTATATCAGTTTAAGTAGCTTTCTATCTCATTCTGGCAACTTCTGTGATAAAGTGGCTGTTGTTTATAGCAGTGGGAGTGGGGAAGCAGGCTACGGAACCTGGTTCCAGTCCTTTTTTATATAAGGAGAGGCCTTGGTGCTCCACAGAAGTAGTTACTAGAGTGGCTTAACCAGTGTTAACCCTGCTGTAAGTCTTTAGAAACCTGTACTATTGCCTCAGAAGAAAATCTGGAGGCGGCAGGGCTGGGAAGAAACCAAAGCCCCCTTTACACACACTTTTTCTAGATGTCCACTGGAAGATTTACAGTGTGATACCCCAGACTGCCTCACATTTTCCCTCACAGACATATCCCAGTCAGTAGCCCTGATTTCTAGGAAGGGTAGTACGCTTCAGTCCTAAAATGATATGCTTTCTGCACGTGTTCAAGATCTGTCACAGTGATTATTTAGAATTGCAGTCCTTAAATATGGAGAGTCACCAACAGAGTCTAGAGAAGGAGGAAGGGATGTTGGCACTATTGCAATGTTGCCATATAGATAACTCTGTCATGTCCATCACTTGACATGACCTTTCAATCTACCATATCCCATATTCAGCCTTTCACAGGCTGAGGATTGTGCTTATGTGGGACTTGCAAGAATTATGAGGCAGGTGGAGGGAGAGAGAAGGTGTTTCTAATAATTCACTCCCTTAAGGCCCCCTACTCCCCAAAATCCGAATCTGTAATTGCTGTTTGCTTTCAGTGCTAATAGCTAAAAGTTTCCTAAATGAACCTCAGTTGCTTGGACTTGGCCTTAGTAACTCCAGCGACATGTTTCTGACATTACTAGTGCAGCTTCTAATCATGTTTAGCTGTAGGAGCTGCAGAGGTTTCGGGTTTTCCTTGCTGCTTTTCAGTTGTCTGATTAATTTCAACATGGACCCTATTTAAGTGGCTCTGATTGCAGGAAATTGCTGCGGCATGTGACACATGTCACAACAGTGCAGTGATTAAAGCCCCCGCGTGTCATTTACTGACTGATTGAGCTAATCACACTGAGAGAGCGGCAAATGTGTGGAGAGGAACTGGCATTCCTTATTGTTCAGGATTTTAAGCATCCTGAATTAAGAGTCCAAATAAATGACAGTTGGACTGGAATTACTTTCAATTTACATCCTTCGAAGCTTGCAACCAATACCCAAGTATGTCATGTTAGGAGGCAGAGTTGGCTTGCTCCTGTTTGAAGCTACACTGTAAGAACAAATTGAAGTAGGGACATTTTAAATAGTGTTGACTCTAAGGAGGTACCAAAATTAGCATCTGGATGAACTTCTGTGGCAGAGTCTTTGTTGGGGTGAAGTGTGAATATGAACTCTTTTTTTTTCTTCCTTTTTAATACATTTTCTGTTTCTGCCAACATGGAGTATACATCATCACTTCAGAATTATAATGATTTCTTATTAACGTGGTGTTGTTTTGTGTTATTCCTCTGTTACTTCTCTGCAATTAGAAAGAATGAATTTGGAGTCAAATTTCCTAGTTTTACAAGTTTCCGCCTCTACTTTCTTGCTGTGTAGGCTTTCTTAATGCAAGGGCGAGTTCTGTGTCACAGAACTCAGCTGGGCAAGGCTGACTGTTAGAGTGGCCTGTGATTCATGAGCAGCAGATGTGATATTGACTATGACCCAGTGAAAAAGGAAGGAGAAAAATAATTTCTGAAAAGGGAAACAATGAAGTTTCTTGGGCAGACATGACTGTGAGATGCTCTGGTGCCTTTGTATGGCTATTGACTAACTCTCATGCCGCTGTTATGGCAGTGTGAGGAGCAGAACCATGAGACTGCTTTGAGATGGCTCAGGCTCATTCCATGGGGCTGCATCCTCTGTCCAGCTGCAATATCTTCTGTCCACACCCTTTCCATTCTTTGGTTCCAATATGCTTGCAATGGGGAGAATTGATGTCTGCTGCTGATTATCTTAGTCAGTGTCAGGCAGAGAAAGAACGAAGCTGCTATTACATCTAGATCTCATACACGCTTGTATTTAAAAACTCGTTTCCTTTTCTTATCCTTTAGGTACGGAACCCTGGTCCTTCTATTTCATCAACGGCTTTCTGAATTTCAACGTGGCATTTATTTTGGCGCTGCTTGTGCTGCCACTGACTTGTCTCATGGAGTGTCTGCTTCAGAAATTTCATGGTGAGTGCAAGACAACTGTGAATGCCAAGCACAGACAGCCCACATCTCAACCTTGTTGCTAAAGGGAGAGCTTGCCTGCCAAAGAGCAGCTTTCCTTCATTGGAAGTGAAACTAGGTTCAGGGAAAGTCTTTGGAATAATAGGAAAGTTCCTAGAGCTCATTACTCAGTTCAGTATTGACCCCACAATGGAGTTGCTGTGTAGAAAGAACACGCAGTGACATGCATCTACTTACGTGCTGTCTGCAAAAGGGCAGAAACATGTTCTTCTCTTCAAGGATGATTCCTGTGTTCCCTGCCTCCACCTCAAGAAGAACAATGTGTTATCAAGGCTGAACTATCCATACCCACAGTAAGCTTAACAAGTTGTATGGTACATAACCTTCAGCCAGACATGCAAATGCATTAGAAATAGCCCTGTCAGAAATCTTAAGGGGGAAAGAAACTATGTACCCATTGTTGTTTCCATCTTATCTGCAGCTGGAAATGGTAGCCTTTAGAGTTATTTGGGGAACCTTTTGCTGTCTCTTCCATTGTTACTTTTTTTATACCACTGCCAGAATGTTTTCTGCAGCAACTTGAGAGAACAGAGTTATTATTTCCTTTTTGATTGTTGGGGCTGAGCCTACAAATAGGCATCCTCTGGTCTCTGCTGCTGCCACCCATGTTGGGATTGAACCTGGACTCTTCTGTGCACTTCAACTCGCAGGACAGTTGTGTGCTACCCCATGCTTTGGGAAGTGTCCCCATAGGCGTGGATATACAGAGAGTAGAGAAAGGAGGAACCAGAATATTCCCTACTTCACGTTGGGCTTTCTCTTAAATTAAATGACATCAGTTTAAACACATGACATTTGGCAAGTGACTCTAGAGAGGAAAAAGGTGTTGAGGAAGTGTGAATTCTTCTCTGCCGTTTTCCTAAGGAAGATTCATTAAATGTCAGCAGCAGCCTCCAGATTCATCAGTCCAGTTAGTGCTTCGCTCTCTGATTTTTTACTGAGTACAAGAAACAATAACATCATAATCATGGGTGAAAATGTATGTTAACAGGTATTTGCTTATATCTGTTCCTTGGATATGACTGACATACTGTCAGAAACCAGTAAAAGCTCAGTAGGAGATCCTGTAAATGCAAGATTTCCTGCTGTTCACTTGGTGTTCTTGTACTTAACAGCAGGAGCAATTCTGCCAAGTGCTTTGTTCTTATTGTCTGTGAAATGCCGTTAGCTTAATTGCTTAACTCTGCTGTTGGGAGTAGCAAGGGGGCAGAAAAGGGACTGAAAATTGTCAGGCACTGTAGAACCCTCCTCAGTGTGACTAAAATTCAGGGTAATTGTTGTTATTTTTGAATCAGTTATTTCCTCCGTTAAGCAGAAGGTGCCTGAGAGACATCTCATGCTGTTATTTTTGTAATGAAGCAATGAAGGTTGTGGAAGCTTCAGTCGCTAAACAACCATTTGTAAGTTGAAGGGTAGGTCCAGAAGAGATCCTTTCTGATCTTTGTATGTATAGCATAATACACAGCAGGAAATCTAGTACTTCTGACCACCCGTTTAGACATGTCAATTCTTGATGGGTTTTGTCTCTTGCTTGGATTCAGTAACGCAGTCCCTTATTTTCTGCTTTTGGTCTTCTAAATTCTGTTGAAATTGTTAGTATTGATTGTAGGAATCTACAAAAATTCTCTGATCAAAATTCTATACTGACTGTTTGGACATGTTACCTGGATTTTAGCAACATGGCTGCTCAGAACATGGTGTGTTTGTGTCTGAAGGCAATAGTTTGGGTCTGAAGAATGGGCTTTTGAATGTGAGATATGATTGTGCAAGAGGGGGAATAGGGTAAACCCCTCATTCTTACATTACTACTTTGCTGAGCGTTTGTTTCTTTCAGTTCAGAATCTGGGCCGTCCCTACTGGCTGACACTAGCTCCTATGTACATTTGGATCATGATTTTCTTCAGTCAGCCCCACAAAGAAGAGAGGTTTCTCTTTCCCATCTATCCCCTCATCTGTCTCTGCAGTGCTGTGGCTCTGTCTGCTCTTCAGGTAAGTTTTAGTGGAACATGATTTTTTAATGAGCTCATACCTTTAGGGAGCATAACTGCTAGCTGACTTCTTTAACATTGCTTCCCAAAGTTTGGGAACATCTGCAGAATATCTGTGTCTGTGACACAATCTACAGTGATTACACAGTTCAGGACTGTCCTATGCATAACTTTTGATCATTGTCTTTAATCTGTTAGCTGGTACAGTTTTCATTTTTGAACCATGTTTCATGGATAGGTGTTGAGACTCTGGAAGCAAAATGCACAGCCATTCTAATACTGAAGTGTGTGTTGCTGATTTTACAAGTTAAACCATAATCTTCCTGTACAGGTTGATTGAGAGTATGTGGAAAACTATTAGCCCTCTGTAAGATGCGATGTAAAAGCAAAAATATTTGGGATTTCCCTCCTGATTGTCGTACAGAATGAGCTCATCTAATAATCTTGGACTTCAGTGCAGACTGCTTAACAGCCCAGCAAAAAAAGATCAAATTTCATGGCTTTAAAAGGTGATCACATTAGGAGCTTGTCCGGGATTGTGTGAAATGATAAATGGTTGAGAATATTTCCTTGCCACTAATTATTTCATGATGACTTTGAGTTGTTCTCCCATCCCAAGTGGGAATTTCTGGTGAGGAGCAGTTGTGATGTTGTAGTGCCAATACAACACAACATCCAAGAGATGTCATGAGGATTAGTAACTTGCTTATAACATTTTGCCTCCTTTGTCTGCTGTTAAGCAAGCTTTAAGGGGCAGGAATGCGTGTGTGTAGGAAATGCATTTTGTTGTATCCTAGTAAGAATCCTTCACTGATTTGAAAAAGGAAAAGTGATCTTGTTTAGGCATCGGGAAATTGCGTTGGACATTTGGAAGAGCCAAAAATTGGATGCTTAGTAAATATCACTTGAAACACTTCATAGAGTAAAGCACTAATATAGATTGATAAGACCCTTCCCAAAGCACAAAATTATTCATCTTTCCTCTGTTAAAGAGGCGCAGGAATGCAGTCACTAGTCCCTGTTAGAGCCTGTTCCAGCTGTTCGGCCTCATTCTGCTATTACTCCTCTGTCCTGCTATGCACCACTGCTGGCTGTTCCTGTCCTGGGCTCCCCACCAGCATTGCCTGCACCCCTCAAATCACTCTCATTCTTCCCCTGGTCAGTTGCTATTCTGACTGTTGATCTCCCATCAGTGCTGATGCTTTGCAGTGCTAAGCTGGAGCACCCCAGATGAGTTTCAGTCCTTGCGTTCGTACAGGATCAAGCTCTGTAATGTCAGCAGTTTTATGGTTCTGGCTGAGAATTGCTATGTGCTGTCAGAACATTCATCAGAGGGCAATGGTTTAGGACCTTTGCCAAATATGGCTTTAGGAAAATCTAGTGTATATTTCTGTCCTGCATATTTTAACACTGTTTGATGACATTTTGTCCAGTATTCAGTATCCAGCTGAGAATTTAGAACTGATTGCCCACTAGTAGTACAAGCTTGTCAGAGTCTGCTCCTCCAAACCACATGGATCTGGCTGTTATGAGAAAAATGCAAACAAGACAAGAGGAACAGAAACCAGATTAGGATAGGAAGTGAATAATCACTCCTGCAGAAAGGCAGAGCAGGAGGGAGGGACCAAGCCAAGTATTGGATGTAGTTCCTCCTGGGTATTCCCAGAAAGGCTTTTAAATTAGAAAAACCTAAAGGGCTTTTCTTGTAACAATTTCAGAGTGGCTTGTGTTTAAAGGTGGATGCAGAATGTGCCGTGTGTTCTTTTATCCACTTCAAAGCTGTAGTTTGTGCAGACAGGGTAAACGACCATAGGTCAGTCAGTAAATCTGGGTCATGAAACTTCTGTTAGCGAGCAAGTCATTCCAGCATTGAAAATGAGGTCTGTCTGTGTAGGGAAGTTCGACAGAAGTGTCTGAAAGGGACACTTACTGGTTCACTTACTGGTGAACTGCTGGTTCACCTGGGAACAACCAAGCTGGAGCCCTGGTAGAGAGTACTTTACAGCTTGACTAGAGGTCTTCCTAGGGAAAAGAGCTGAAAATGTCTTTAAATACCCTAGATTATCAGTTAAGAAATGTGACTGAACCATGTGAGTTTCTGTGCATATTTTATGGTCTGAATGAAAAAATGAAGACCAAAGATCTGGTGGGAGATGCAGGCACTGCTGTAAGGTCCTTATGAAAAATAGAATTTTGCTAAACATGTCAGAGTTTGAGTAATTTTATATTGTCTTTTTTTTTAATCTTTCCTCAGAAATGTTACCACTTCATATTCCAGCGCTACCGTCTGGAACACTACACAGTCTCCTCCAACTGGCTGGCTCTGGGGACTGTCTTTCTCTTTGGCCTTTTGTCATTGTCACGCTCTGTTGCCTTATTCAGAGGTTGGTATTTTAGACTTGTTCTGTGCTTTCCTGGCTATTGGTCTTAAGGCCTGCCAAAGTTTTGCTGCTTTGACTATAGCAGCACAGTAGAAATAAGGAGCCTCGAAAGTTTGGATGTCATTGTTGCAGGGAAAGAAATAAGTTCTAATGGTCACCATTAATGAATGATTGTATGTGTGTGTGTGTATGCACATTCATACATGTATGTATGAACGTATATATGTATTCATGTATGTATGAATGTATCACTAGGATTATATCAGTTAAAAATCTGCTGCCCTTCACTTTCAGCCAGTACAACTATACTGATATAAAACCTGTACCCAGGCTAGTATTAAAGCAGATACTTTAACTTTCAAACATATGATCCCACTTGAAAAAGCATTTTCCCATGTAAAACTTGTTATTAGGTGCATGTGTCCTTAATGGAGATGGATTAGATATGGTCCTTAAGTACTTTCTTGAATCAGAGCCATGCAGTGAACCTTCCCACCTCATCAATATTTTTTTGCTTGATGGTAGCCATTGGCAGTCAGGACAGGAGAACGTGAATAAAGGTCGTAGGGTACAAGCCCTTCTAAAAGGAGGGGGAGCTTTGGAATCCAGCCACTTTTTAGCATAGCCCAATTCATTTATTCAAGAAGTTATCAGTTAAGAAGTTATATATGAACCATTTTTCATAGTCTTTCAAAAGTAGTCATGTAAATATCACCTATTTCTTCAGCCTTATTTACAACTTTCTGCCTTCCATAGGCTACCACGGGCCCCTGGACCTGTACCCAGAATTTCACAGGATTGCTACTGACCCAAGTATTCACACTGTGCCAGAGGGGAGACCGGTTAATGTCTGCGTGGGAAAGGAGTGGCACAGATTTCCAAGCAGCTTTCTCCTGCCAGATAAGTAAGTTGTTTAATGTAAAAGGTACAACTTGGTGAGATTCATAAGGAGGGGCACTTCTCATAAGAAGTATTTATGGGAGTAGCCTTCAAGACCTTGTATCTCTGTTGACACCAGCATATCCAAAACAAAGGATTCCAAAGTTTGTTGTCGGCAGATTATGTTGTCCACAAACTACTGAAAATTTGTAGCGTGACTGCTCCTCTAGCAGGGCTGTCTACCCTCAGGAATGAAATGTCCTTGGTTATGCTTTTGGTTTTCTCCACACAAAATGTTACTAGCTCCTGCATTTTCCTGCTGGCCTTTCTGACACTGTTTTCTGCAGTTGGCAGCTCCAGTTCATCCTGTCAGAATTCAGGGGCCAGTTACCAAAACCATTTGCCAAGGGACCAATGGCCACACGGATCATTCCCACTGACATGAACGACCAAAACAAGGAAGAGCCATCTCGATATGTAAGGATTATATTCCTGTTTTCTTTTCCTTACCTTACTGTATAATTTGTATTAATATAATGCCTATGATTGGGTCTCCCCATTTTGTTTCCCGGGGACCATACAAGTTACAGAACAAAAATGGGCTCTCTGCAGCACTTGGAAGTTTCCCTATTTGTGTGAGTGGTTTCTGTTTGCATTTCATCTGCCTATTTTTCAATTAAAGACATAATAATAATAATAATAATAATAAAGAAGCAGAAGTAATGATTCCTAGTTATTACGATTTGGGGTTTACTATAATGTGTTACTGCGATCACAGGAAAGTGAACTGAATGAGTAGCTTGAAATCCCCCACAGAAAATGTTTGTCACTGAGCAGGGATTGAAATTTTCCTTTGTACATTCCTTTCTTTTTAAATATAAATGTATTCATCATATTTGCAACTGAGGAGGAGGAACTTAATTTGGAACTTCACTGAAACAATTGTGTCAGTGATTTCAATCGGAATCTGTTAAGGTAATGTATACTGGTATTATTCATTTGTTACTTTTCCTGGTTGTATTGTATTACCTAAACAAAAACAGTGCACACATATGAATATTTTAAAATTATGGTCAGGTAACTTCTCTAAAATTATTTAGCAGGTTAAATCTTAGCAGTGCACTAAATATTCTTTGCAGTGCACTAGCTACTTAGTCATCCTTTATTTTTTGTCCTAAGGGTTGAATGCGAGGAACTGCCAAGAAATGCATAGTCCTTTCTTCATTCTCTCTTAGCACCTTGGAGGATAGCTTTGGTATGTCCATCAGTATATAGGAAGCACTCACATGTGATGGACCAGGTCTCTGGTTTACACAAATGGGTCTACCCTGGCTGAAGACAGCAGACGTATGCTTGTTTATGTGGCTCATGACTTTGGCCTGTTAGACTTTGTACAAGCACTTGTGATCTGCTCACAGAAGTGGATGGAAGGTAGTACTATAACACAGGAGCAAACTGTGTGGGTAAAAGTAGGGATCAATCTTCTGGGTTAAAGCTCTCTTATTTTAAGCCTCATTATGTAGCTACTGGAAATGGGAAGGAGGCGTGTTCCCACCTGAGAGAAGCTGTCTGCTGCAGTGCATTTAATTTACAAAATCTTTAACTGTGGCATATTTTTAGCACACACAGCTGGCTGGTGCACAGCCTGTGACTAATGGAGCAAAACACACTTTTGTTTCATGGTTGTTTCTTAATGTCACCCTACAATTTTGTTATTTCTCATGCAAGCAAAAGGGCCTAGGACATTAGAAATTAGCTACTAAATGTGAATTTTAAATGGGGTTTTAAAACTTCTACTTCTGACCTGCTAATAACACCAAGAGAACAAGATCTTTTCTCAAGTTTAGTGAGCTTATGAATGCAAGCATACCCAGATTTAAAAAAAAAAAAGTTAGCAAGCACTGAAAAAGGTCCATCATAGTGAATAAATCTAAATAGCATCAGTCTGTTGGTCATTTAAAGGGGAGAAAACAAATGGTTCAAAGGGATTATCTGAGCCATGGACAGCTTAAAACCAATTAATGGCTGCAGAAGTGGGACCTATCTCTCTGTTTCAAGTGTAAGAATCTATTACTGCTCTGCTTGAAAATTGAAGAGTAAATCTCAGTGTTTCTGTTGCTATGAGACACTGGGGAAAAGAGTGATTTGATCTTCTTGTTTTGCAATTCTTCCTTCCTTAATCATGTTGAACAGCACTTAACTTGTACTTGTCCTACTGGGGAGATGCATTTGTCTCTGAAACTGCTAAGAAAGAGATAAGGAGTATTATCTCTTACAAAGATGTATCCAAGCAGGAACAGTAGATTAGGCCTAAAAGCTGAAACTGTTAAAAACTCCTGACTTCTGAGGAAGTTTTTTTTAACCACTTTATTTTCACTTCTTTTCCAATTCCCTTTAGCTCTGTTTTGAACCATAGGAACCACCTGAAGCTTGGTCTCATTTTTGAAATATGCATTTGAGTGATCAGTAAAACATCTCTGATTTTGCTCAAAACAGTTGAACTTTATCTGTGGTAAACCAGACAAACTCCTGTTGTGCTCTGTGTGGCCAGGCTAACATCCATCCAGATACCAGTGAGCGACATGTGGCTGCAGCAGTACAGCAGCAGGCTGCGCCCTTAGGTCCATCTCTGTACTATACCGTGCCCACTCCTGTTATTCAGGATGTGATCAAATGTAGTTCTCTACCACTTAGCATAGCAGTTGCATCAAATAAAAAAAGAGTGGGAGGACGAAAAGGAAAGGAGAACAGAAGAGGATAGGATGTAGTTTAGAAACTCCTTGCAGCTCCGTTCACTAAGACTGACTTCTTTCTACAAAGAAACGTTTCAAATTCTGTACACCACCAAAGTCTTGTGTAAATCCCCAAATAAATGCATAGGTGCTGTTTTGGCCCTCCGACCAGGATGAATATTATCCTTAGCTTTGGTGTAACTTGTAAGAAGGCACTATGCTCTACTTGGAATGGTAGAAGGGAAATCTGTCTTTCACCTGGCAGATAATTCATATGCATTGGAAGTGCCAGCCCTTTTAGGGGAGCATTTAGAATGAGAGAAGTGAGATTAGTCTTAGTGCTTGAGGCAGTAACTTGTCTTTCTCTGAATGATTCTACATCACTTACAGAAAAACTTGGTTAGTGGTTTGGGAGTCTTTTTGCTAATGAGCCAGAACCTCTCTCAGGGCCTGGAATGTTCTTCTCATACAGTGCAAGAAGTGGATTCAACATTCTCCTCAGCAGAATTTCCCATGGTGTAATTTCATTTGCCACTCAGTTGTGATGCCACGGAGCTGTCTGGCATCCACCTAATTAAATTGTTTTCAGCCTAAATTGTTACAATAAACCCCAAAGGTGCTTCAGAAAAGTGAACTGAAGCATGTCCGAGGAAGTTTGCAATAAAATTTTGTGGGAGAGCAAACTGAAATGTGGGATACCTCAAGGAAGAGTTTGAGGGAGTAAGACAGAATAAGACATAGTCATCCTGGAGAACCTCAGCTGCCTGCATTTAAGATAACTGATGGGTAGAGGCCTTTGCAAATCTGGCTTAAGGGGCCTTAGCTTTTCATTTGACTAATCCAGCTATAGCTGCCCTGCCTTTTTCTTCACCTTTTCAATGTGTCAAACTTGTGCAGTGACTCTAAGGAAATTTGTTTCTTCATTGAAACACCTGGTCATCACACATTACCTTTTTTTTCTGACTTGATGAGATGTACACACTGTTGTGCAATCAACAAGACACAACTGTGTATGTTGTGTTCTGCCATTGTGCAACTGATTGTAAAAGCACTTCCAAAGAAGGCATGAAAAATTAAGTGAGTGATGGGATTTCTTCTGCAGAAAGTTGGCAGATACACTGTTTCTTACAGGAGGATAAACAGGGGAGCGTGAGGCACTGGGTCCCCTCAGCCTGATCTAGCATGTACTTTGTTGTCTTTCTTGGGCAGTGGGTCAAGCCTTTATCATGTGAACTTGACTGTACATTCTTTAGGCCTAGGACAGCACCTATACAAGGTGTTAATTGGCAGTGTCTTTGGATGTTTATACATTACAAACAGTTCATGATCATGACAAACGAGTGCTGAGTTGGTACACTTCCCAGCATCGATGTTTATTATTCTTCTGGTCTACAGAAATATTCCTCTGGATGTGCCTTAACATAAGGTACCCTTCTCACTGTTGTGCATGCACTTTGGAGCAGAATTCATTAATTGCTGTTACAGTAATGATAGGAGTAGTTATCCGTAGAGCACTTAAAATGGGGGTATGTACTGGAAACTGCAAAGGTCTGTCCTTTTCAGAGTTTTTATCAATGATTTGCAGGGGGGGAAGGAGGAATAGGCAATAGGCTTATTAAATAACAAATGATGTGGGAGAAAGTAGGTAATTAGAATTCAAAGTGATTTTGACAAACTGGAGAGAGGATCTGAAAAAAAAAAGGATGACATTTACTATGGACAGTGCACTAGACAGAAATAATAAGGTGAATACCTGTAGGTTGAAGACCAGCCAGTTATGCACAAGTCCTTCAGGAAAGGATCCAGGGGTGCGGCGAATCACTGGATGAATACAACTTAGCAATGCCATGCTGCTGTATAAAGAGATGAGCCACATAGAGGGCTATATGCACAGGAGCATATTGTGCAACTGTTGCTTTGCTGCTCTGCATTAGGAAGTCCTTCATTAAACTGCCACATCCTGATTTCGGCACTGCATTCAGGATAGATGTGACTAATTGAAGACCCACAAGAATGATCACAGGGGTAGAAAACATGACTATGGAGTAAAATAGGGTTGTAGAGAAGACAAGAGCCATCTTCAGATAACAGAACTCTAGTATGTAAAAACTATCACAAAGAAGATGATGTTTTCCTTGTTTATGATGTAAAACAAGTAGGGACAGGCATGAACTGAGACAGAAGAAGATTCAGTGTAGACACCAGGAAACCTTTCTAACGCTGAAGATGGTGAAGTCTTTTGCCTGGGGAGCTTGTGGAGTCAGCATTGTAGCAAGTCTTTAATAGCTAGTTAAACAACCACCAGGAAAAACGTCAACAGAATTGGTTCTGCTACCTCAAATTCCTCTCTGTGACTTGACAGTTCCTCAGTAAGAGAGCTGGCAGTGGTACTTCCTCAGACAGGGACCCTAGGACTCTTCTCCTATGACCAGAGCAGTAGTGATAGCTTGTATTCCTCCATAAAGGTTTTACTTGAAAACATTCAAAATATTTTACAATGTATCCTGCATGAAGCATGTCACCAGTTGCTAGAAATTTAACCCCCTTCTCATTGATAAGTAACAGCCTGTATAAATGAACACATACAACCAGAAGCCTACAGGAAAAAAAACACAAGAATGTCTTTCTTTCTGCAGATTGACATTTCCAAATGCCACTATCTGGTGGACTTGGATACAGCAGCTGAAACCCCAAGGGAGCCAAGGTATTCCTCCAACAAAGAAGAGTGGGTAACCATTGCCTACAAGCCATTCCTAGATGCTTCCAGGTATGCTTTACACATTTGAGAGGGAGGGAGAAAGGCTGGCAGGTCTGTGAACTAATTCTGTTCAATTATCCTCTTGCAAAAGTAGCGGTATACAGGGAGGAAAGATACATGGGCAAACGCTAGCTTGAAATCCGGTTTCCAGTAAAGGCAGCTTGCTGGCTACAGTGGAACCTTTGTCAAACTTGTACTTGCAATATTTATGACCTAGGCTGCTTTAGAGGGTGAAGCTAGCTGAGAAGGGTGGTAAGAAGGATTATTTTAAAAAAGAATCCTCCCTGTGCACTTCTTGCTGAAGTAATGTTTTTTGTTTTGCTTTCTGAAGAAATGAGGTATATGTCATCTCCTCCCAACAGACTTTTGAATCTGCTGTCTTGTTTCAGCTAAATTCAAGACAGGTGTAAGTCAGTCTCAAAGAGCATGAGGTCTTACAAATTTTATGAACGAGAGGAGGCAGACAGAGAGAGGAGGCAGTCTCATGGAGTGAAAAGTCAGCAAGGTCACACCTTTATTAGGCATCAGAGAATCCATGGAAGAGACCTCTGTTAGAATCCGTTCTTCATTAGTTCTGCTGCTCACTGAACAACTTGCTTGTGTGTCTGAACAGGAATTTCTGTGAGAGGCAGAGATTGAAATTGGTCTCCTCCAGGCTAACAGGGGCTGGAATCAGCGTTGTCAAAGTGGGAATGTTGTTAATACATTCCTGCAAATACAGAGACCCTCAGCTGTAAGGGGACAGTTATTTAGTCATTTAAAGCTCTGGTCATGTAGCTGTCATAACAGGACAGGGAGGCTGACTGGAAAAATCTCTGTAAAAAACTAATACAGAGTTCAGTGCCCTCCTATTTTCTATGTGAGACCTTATTATTTCCTAGTAATAGGACCCTCGAGGGAGGGGGGCTGGTAAAAGCAGCTGAACAGTGAGAAAGAGTGATAATGTTAGAGCAGCTCCCGGGAGTGCTCTAATGTTCCCAGCTTGCTGACACAAACAAGTTTTCTTGGCAAGGTTTTTCATGAACTATGTTTTCCGAGAGACCTGCTGTTACATTCGGGCAGGACTTTAGGAAGGGAGAATGAGATGGCCAATGAGTCTTATTAATGAGGCAATAGAAGCATCTGCGTAAGAGTTTTGCAGAGGACTCCTTGTGCAGAGCATATACCCCTGAATGTGCATTTATGCTTTGAAGACACATTCATGTGTTTTTAAAGCTGGTTTATCTTGCTATCCTCTGCTGAACAGCCCAGCTTTGATTGTTTGGATCTGATCTAAAATCCTTTGAAGTCATTCAGAGGCACTGAGTCAGGTCCAAATGAGCCTTTAAGACACCTTGGGTTAACCATGGGGATGTAATTTGCTAGGGGAGCTTTCAGAGGTAGCAGCTGCCTGTCGCAGAGATGCTAGCCTGCCTAATGAAAGCAAAGTGAATTACTCTGCTATGGCTGTACATCTCACAGACTTCTCCAGAATGTCCTGGATTCTCCATGGCTTCTTTCCACTTCTGCTCATTTTTCCTGTACTTAGCTGATGGTTGGTAGAGAAGGAGTTGGTCTGTCTCATGGGGCTTTTTGGATTATTGCACTTTCAGCCCCCACCCATAGCCTCTGAGCTTTTGATTAAAGCTCACGAGAGACGTATCACTGCTCTCTCTTCTGAACCGATTTCGTATCCCCTTAGAGGCTGTGCCCTGCTGAATAAAAAACAGCATTTGTCTGGAAGCAACAGCACAGTGTATCTGCTCCTTTTGTGGGGAGAGAGTTGAGTCTACCCCTGTAGGCCTTACCACAGGACACTAGTGTTTCGAATCCTCCACTTTCACGCAGGCTTTTTTGTTCATTGCTAACTTGGCTGGGGATTTTTCCTGTAAGATGTGTGTACATCTGATACCATCTCAATCCTGACCCTACTGCAGCCTGCAATGCTGACTGGAATCAGTGCAAGGAGCTAAGCTAGAGCCAAACGCATAGCTCAGTACTGAGCTGAGTCCTTGTCACTCTCTTCACTGCTTTAATGCTGTTTCTGTATGAGTCACTCTATGATATTTTTCTTTCTTCTTTTCCCCCCTCCTTCTTATTAGGGGAAATTGATAGGATTAAGGAATTTCCCTATTTACAGCTAAACCCCTGCATCCTGCCAAGCATAAATATCTGGCTGGTTTCTCAGGAATTTGGCTGAATACATAGGTAGATGTGGTGTAGCAGCTCTGTGCTTCTAGGGGAAATGCTGTCAAAGTACTTCCTGCCAGACTGAGGCTGGTAACTTATTCCCAAGTTTGGCAGTGAAAACTCGTGCATTCATTTTAATTTGATATATGATACTGTGTGTTGCATTTAGATCATGTAAACTCCAGCTAGATTCCCAAGCTGTATGTTTCTTGTTGGCTAAGTATCTTGCAAGCCTGCAGCCAAACTCTGGTAACCCACTCAGTACAGGGATGTCGATTTCTGTGTGTGGTCCTTCATGTCTGGCTTGTGAAAGGAAGGTGCATGTGGCTGTTACCACTGGAAGTAATGGCTTGGCTTGTTGTAGCAAAGGTAGCATCTCACCATGGAGCAGCAGCTTGTTGTGAGAAGCTGAGAGTCACAGAGAGATCCTGAAACTTCAGAGCATACTGACACTGGTAACGATGAGATGTAAAGGCAGAATACTGGGGGTGGGGAAAGGGGAGCATACTCCCTGGCTAAGCAATCACCAAGACCTTAGAACAGATCATCTAAAGTGGTGGGGAGGAAGGGGATCTTTCTGGCTGCTGTGTCCTCCTTAATAAAAGATGCTGTTGCATTAATGGGAGACTGGAATAGAAGAGGGTTTGCAGAGCATGTCCCAAGAGGAGATCAGGCAGTCAGATCCTTAGCCCTGCTGGTGTCGCCTGTCAGCCTCCTCCGCTCCTGTTCTTGTGCTGCATGGAAATTCTCCATGCTGTTCCTTATCAACGCCTCACAGCTGGAGCAGAGGGGAGGTGTGATGCCTTCACCAGTGGAGGAGGCCAGGTTGCCATAGCAGCAGGTCTGATTTCCATCCCTGCTGTTAGTACCTCCAGAGCTCCCGCAGTTTGGAGCGCTGGGCTCCGTCCCTTCAGCAGACCTTCAGCAGTCTGCAGGTGGGGCAGCTCGAGTGCACAGTGCTGGTGAAGGACTAGAAGGGCATGTGCTTACCTGGGGGATATCACTGATACTGAGGGATGAGAGAACCAGCAGTGTCTCCCCATCTTGTCACCCTGCTTGTCTGACAGATTCTCTGTTACCTCTGAAGGACAGTAAGCCAGGAACCATGGCCTGCCTAGCAGGGCAAATGTGTAGCAGTGGGCACAGCTTCCCAAAACAACTCATGGTACAGTGAAGAGCAGTAAGAACAAACCATGCAAGGTCTGATATGGCCTGTTTTTAGCCAGTGTGTCACTTAAAGGTATCACATTTAAAATTGGATACTACCGACAAGGTCAAGGCCCCTTTTGCCAGCCCATCCACAACAGCATGAGCAAGAGAAATTTCAGAAAGGCTCTGTTTGGATTGCCTGCTTCATAATTTTTTGTCATATATTTTTAATTCCTTTCTGTAATTTGGCCCTTGGAGAAGAGGTAGGGTGGATGAGTGATTAAGGAGCTCAGCTGGAACTTGGTGCTCCCAAGACTCTGTCCACGTATCTTAAACCCTCCCTGTGTTGCAGTTTCGCATTTGGACCAAAAGTTTGTTAGCTCCCCACTTATCTCCAGGAGTTTGCTGGCAATGAATAAAAGAGTGAGAAGCTTCAACTTCATAATAGCGGTGGCAGGTAAATCCCTTTGCATTGTTTTGCATCCAAGTATTGGAATTTTGCTGCAACATCCATATAAAGGTTTCCCATGGCAAATGTTCATAATCAGTCTGTTGAGCTCCTTGCTCTGAATGCGTCGTAGCACTTCTAAAATAAGACAGCATTGTTTGCTTTGTTTTTTTTCCCTGAGTGTGATTGAGTTGTAACTTGCATAAAATAATGGGGCTCAAGCAATTCTCAAAAGGGGAAATGACACAAGTTTTGCAGTAGATTGGCAGCTGACAGATGAGTTAGCTAGTGGCAGTTGCAGTTCTGTCTAGCAACTGAATGAGATACGAGGGTCTGTCTCACCCTGCAGACTCAGGCATTAGCTATTGTCCTTTTGTTGAGATTGGAAAACCTCATTTGCGAAGCAAGTACTACTGGTGTGTCTTTCTGTCTGTGGCTGCAGCAGTCTCCCTTGCTGCTAGTCAGCCCTTGCTTTGCTTGCTTCTGTCCTTATCCCAGTCTGTAGAGTACCAAGCCCACTGGAGTGGGCACTGCAGAGCCTCAGAGGGAGGACACTGAGAGTTGCCACTCCATCCAGCTGGAAGGTTCTCTGAGGGCATTGGGTATACCCTGAGACTGTTTCAGGGATGCAACAAGTACTTCTATAGTCCCGAAAGGCAGGCCTGATAGCGGAGAAGGTATGGAAATCCCAGCAAAAACACTTCTGTGTTTTTGTTTCGTTTTAATTTGAGACAACAAATCTAGGCAGGGCTGTCTCTCTTAGACTTGAGAAATTGATCATTCTGGGGAGTTTAGCTGCCGGAGAGGAGCGGTTACACAGTTGTAATAGCACATTAGGTGCTAGAAATTGGTAAGCTGAAAGGATCCCAGAGTTAGTAGATCTGTGGGGAGAGTTATTCCCAGGGTAAGACATACAGGTCTGTGGGTAGAGTCAGTGAAGATGCATCAAGAACTCCTATAATGATCCAGGCTGCTCGCATTTCTGAGCTCCCCAGCTTAGCAGAATGACGCATCTCTCAAATCCAGCACCTGCTTCCACACAATGATTTGGAAATGTCCCCTGCTACCTCTGAAGTAAGTGTAAAAACACTATGAAAATGCAGCTTTTTTTATAAAAGGGAAGGAGGAACAGAAGAAGTGTCACTTTGAACTGAGCTGCGAGGGAAGCTGCCAGGGTAGACTTCAGGTCTGCAGCTCAAGTGGCTGCAGAGCAAGGAGCATTTTTGGGCAAAAAACCCCCATG